CTTCCGAGGAGTGGCTGGTGGGTTTGAACCGCCAGCCTTCTGGTTAGCAGTCAAGTGCCTTAGGCACTATGCTACCAGAGCTCCTGAGAAGTCCTCATCCACTGCTGGTCATGAGCACAAGTCCTTGGTGCCTCGACTGAGGAGCACACGCGTGATGACGACGGACCCCACAGTACCTAGTGTGTTGGCTCGAAGCCAGCAACCATTAAAAGACATGTCACTGAGCTTTCCTAAAATAAACCATTTATTGAAAAAAGAACCTTTGTCTTAAATTTCATTAATCGGGCTTTTGCATAATCTGAAGCTTGCCAACAACAACAAAAAGGGAAGTTTCACAGTCAGTGCACTCGACAAACATGAGATTAAAAAACAAGGTCCAGAACGCCTGGTAACACTACGACTTCTTTTGAACCTAAGAAGGTCAAAAACACTACACTGACAGTACGGTTCTCGTCACACGAGAAACAGGACAAGGCGATGGTCCGTGTACAGTAGTAATGGCACTTAACATGCAGCTTCTTCAACCTCGCGGACACCTCGCACAGGAGGGCCCTGTGCCAAGAAAAACAAACAGGAGCAGCAGCAGAAGTGACGCACGTCACCTGTGCAGTCTTCAGTCTCGGAGGGTAAAGGCTTATGCTGCTTCTCAGCACAGTCTTTATGTAAATATTACATACAGTAGTGATTAAGAGCATTTCCGAGTTCATACACTACCAGGCCACACGCTGATTAGCTTCATTCTTCATCTGTGCAAACCTGTGAGGAAGGCAGGAGAGAGCTGAACCCCACGGATACCACACGCAAGACTTGTAGATAATCCATTAACCTCGACCTTCACCGCACTACAACTGGCCCGGAGGAAAAGGGCTAAATAAACACAGTGAGAGAAGTCGGTGCTGTTACTGCTCCAAAGCACTGCCTACCAGTGAACTACTGAAAACATTTCTAGAATGTGTATGTTAATGTTGTTCATAGTCTTTAAAGCTAAGAAATACAACGTTACGTGATTACAAACCCTAGCATCTGTGCAGCAGAGGCAATTGTTGGTCCCCGGACACCCCACCCAAGAAGAGTTCTGCCGGCCCTCACCAGGGCCCTTCCATGTGGTTTCTGCCAAGGTTCTACACTCATGCCGTTCCCGTCCACACACCACCCCAGCAGCAGGTACCTCCATGTCTGCTCTGCTGGCCCGTGCCCTGAGGAACGCCAGTGCAGAATATCCACGTCTGCCGGAAACCCCCAAGCAGAAGCGCCAGACATGCCTCACACCTAATGTTTACCAACGGGACACCATCGCCTCTCTGGCCCCACCCTCCACCAGCTGACTCCCCGTGTCCCTACCTGGGGAATGGAATCTCTGTGACCCAGTGATTCAGCCAGAGACCGGCAGCCTCTCGCAGTCCGAGCCAGTTACCCAGTCAAAGCCACTCTAGCTCCTAAGTATCACCTAGAACTCACCCTCTCGTCCCAAGTCTCCATTCTTTGCTATGGCAACAACTCCCCAACTAGACTCTTGGCTCCAAAACACTAGTTAAATTCCTTCAGGTGGCTCTGCCTATGTTGCCACCTTCCACACCCCATCATATCTTCTGCATACAGGTCCACGGGACCCTCTCCTGATGGGGCCTTTCCAGGTCTTTCTCATTTGTCTGGCAAGCTCATCCCCTATCGTCGGCCTGGCTCACCACCCCTAATAGCTCAGACACCTCCTGCCTGCTGTGGGAAGTACGGTCAGAGGTCAAGTGCCTGGGTCAACCTCATCATGGCATCATCACAAGGCTGAACATATTGGCACCTGGTGACTAGCTGTCTCCATCTTCCAAACAGACCTTGCACCCCCACTCCCTAGAGTGGGGACCTTGTCTTTTATTCAGGCCTGCCTGGAAGTCCAGTAACTGGCCCAGATGTACCTCAAAATTAACTTATCCAAAATGGAGCATGTCAGAGAACCTCAATAAACATTTTCTGAAGAACTATATATGTATGTCTATATCATCCTGGCATAACACATTTAGCATCTTTCCATTTCAACAATATACTTTCTTATATTTAAATTTCAAAATTTCCTCAAGTGCCAGCTTCAAAACAGAATCCCAACAGTGAATGTAAGGAGAGGAGACATTGTCAGACAAACCTTGACAAATGCGTGGTCGAGGAGCTGGCTGGCCGTCCACCTCATCTTTGGGTCACTTTCAAGGCAGTGAGAAAGGAAGTCCTTTCCTTCGGGACTTAATTTTTCAGGGATTGGTGGCTTATGTCCCATTCCCACTTTATACATAATCTGAAAGTTGTGTTCATACTCATGCCAGGGCCTCTGAAAAGACAGATAAAATTCAGGTTGTAATCCTAGGTGGCCACTGAACAAGGCACGCACACACTCTCCCTTTAGGTATTGCAGTATTACAGATACCACAGGCTGCAAACTTAACAGATACCTGGGGCTGGCAAACTTTGTTCTGTGAGTCACATGGTTTTTGTCACAACTATTCAATTTCCCCACTGTAGCATGAAGGTAGTTGCAGACAATAGATAACCAAATGGGAATGGCTGTGTTCCAACAAATCTTTATTTACAAGAACAGATGGCTGGTATAGTTTCCTGAATCCATCTGGAATGTTCCATTTGTCTAGCATTATCTAGAATCATCATGTCAATTAAAAATGTAATGCATAAAGTCTATGAAATTCCACCAAGCATGTAACACTGAACAGTTACCAACAGGGTGGTGACCAGACCACCTGCCTTGAATGCTGAGCGTCAATCCTTCTGGTGCCAAGCTCTGCACCTTTTATTACAACCACGAAACAATGAGCCTCACTGGGGAAGCACTACGTTTGTTAAGGCACTGGAAACTGCAGACCACTGTTTAGTTCTTATGACAGGAGTCCTTCAGTGTGGCCTGGGTCTTTCTCTGATACTTGGCTTGGATGAAATAACACAGCTGGCAGCCATCTTCCTATTTGATCAATATTATCTGCTAACAGAATAATTCTATCATTACATAGTCTAATACTTATTAAACTATTATTAGTATTATAACTACAGAAATACTAGCTAATATTTATTGAAAGGCGCTCTGGTGGTACAACAGTTAAGTGCTCAGTTGCCAACCAAACGGTTGGTGGTTCAAACCCACCCAGAGGCTCCATGGAGAAAAGGCCTGGCAATCTGCTCCTGTAGAGATACAAGCCAGGGAACCCCACGGGGCAGCTGTCCTCTGTCATGTGGGGCTGTTAGGAGTCCAAAATTCACTTGACAACATGCAAAGACAATGGGGACTGGGCGCTTGCTGGGGCGGGGTGGGGCAAGGCTCTTTCCCAGCAGCTGTATGGTCTGGTCGTATGATGTATTTAACTCATTTCCTACTAGTGACCACTTAGGAGGCATCTGATTTCTCCCTGTGTAAACGACTAGAATTACACATGCCCTGCACATGTGCACAGGGATACCTCTGTACACTGGCTCCATTGTTCATCCGCGGTATCTTCATCAGAAGACACACTTTCAGAAACAAAATGTCTTTCTTGGTTTAAGGGCTGCACT